TTGTTTAGGTGAAAACCAGATCATTCATTCTAAATATAGACCATCGCTGCCCAGCGCTAGGCACCCAAGTGTGATCAGTTGGGGCACAATATGAATCCGCAGATGAAACAGGAAATTCAAATATACAGCAGCAGAATTTGGATCAGGTTTTGAACTTGCCCAGAATGTGGGTGTGTTTGGATCTGAGGTTCTGCTTCAGACCCGTCTCTGGCTACAGAACTGCACAATTCCTTTGCTCACACGAATCAGACTCCGTGGGCGAACTCACCAGAATCTTGCAGTGCTCCCTTCTTTCCTCGGGCCTCGCTCTGCCTCACGGGCTGTGTGAGGTCCACAGGCTCACCCACAGCTGCCTGCATTTGGTGGATTTATAGCCACGGTGAGAGAACTTGGCTCCTCCCCGCAGGGGGGTCTCGCAGTTCAGCTGGGAATCTCTGCTTCCACTTTGTCCTCCCGCCCATCGCTGGCAGACAGAGTTAACTCTTTCGCTTCAGACTTGGGAGAAAAGAAACTGTTCCTGCGTCGTGGGAATGAGAGATAGAAAAGCCATTTTCGGTCCCTTCTAGACCAAGATCCCTCAGCCACTGCAGAACTGATCACTACGGTACATTACCCACTGCTCGGCCCAGTCTCGTTTTAAACAACCCAAGCAATGAACCCTCCACTACTTCCCTTAGGAGGCTGTATCCACCCCGGGGAGTCCATTAGTGCCCGGAGTACCTTCACCGGATACGCAAGAGGGTCACCCTGGCCAGACAAGTCAACTTCACCTGCTTTCTGGTTGACTATTTAACAGTCCGCAGTCACTACGAATACAAGCTAGCTACTGAACGCCACTCACTGGGAGAGGCCTTAGGAGTGCGAAAAGGCAATACAGCCTCACAGATATTTACTTAGCAGCCGGCCGCCTTAGGTTATTATTTTTAGTTTGCATTGGGATAGTGCTGAGAGACCTCAGCCTGGAAACCGAGCCCCATTGTGCCAGGTGCTCTACACACGTGTAAGGAAAAGGTGCCCTACAGAGTTTCCCATCTGTGTCGGTGTTTCAGTTCCCGGGTGCGGTAAACTTGCTGAGGAGACGAAATCTCACTTCATTCAGCCCCACACTCCCCTGAGGCATTCAGTAACCCTGTGAACAACGCAGACCAATGGGGAGACATTCGGCACGAGTGTATCCTCTTGAGTATAACTAGATCTACACTGAAAAAAACCCCCAAACCATGGCAGTATCTCAGAGCCCAGGTCAATTGACTCCGGCTCGCGGGATTCAGGCTGCGGCACACAAAAGAGCAGTGAAGATGTTCCCGCTCAGGGTGAAGTCCGGGCTCCATGCCTTCCCCGTTCACCAGCTTTCCCCACGGGCAGGTCTTCACTATGGTGGGGTCGATTTAAGATACGCAAATTTAGCTACACGAATAGCATAGCTGAATTCGACGTATCGGAGCCGACTTACCCCGCTGTGAGGACGGCAGCAAAATCAACCTCCGCGGCTCCCCGTCGACAGCGCTTACTCCTACCTCCATTGGTGGAGTAAGCGCGTCGATTCGGGGATCGATTTCTACCCGCCGATTCAGTTGGGCAGTGTAGAACTAGCCTAAGACTTGCTCCGTGGGAGAGGGGGGTTTGCGGTGTAAACATAACCTAAGAAGAGGCAGTTTCACGGCATTGCTGGCACTTCCTGACCACAGTCCACCTGCCAATATGGCGAGGCAGCCATTCTGGTGAGATTTCAGCTCTTCCACTTCCATTTCTAGCTGGACCTCAAAACGGATGAGGAGCAGTGAAAACAAAAAACAATTCAGTGGGGTGGAGTTCTCTCGGCTTTTCAAAACCTTCATAAAAGCACGCTTACTTGTATCAATCTTTCATCAGCCAGAAGCGCTGTGTTCCCACTGATTTATTCCTGACCCCGCCTGGAGTGAAGCAGTTAAGTCACCACTGTTTTGGGTTCTGAAACCCCTGGGTAACACCCTCCTAACCAGACAGGGCACTGATGACCTCATAGTCCAACCTACACAGAGCCCTAAATATGCAGGGACAACTCTTCAAACGTCATAGACACTTTTGCACATGCACCCGCTCAGTTGTGCAGATCCCCTCATGCAGACGCCTTAGGGGGTATTTGCATAATTAAACTAAATTAAAATTACACACACACGCACACACACACACACTAGCACGTCCTCTCTTGAAGCTCAATCCCATATTATTGAATAGAGAAGTAGCTATTAAGCCAAGGGCCTGTAAAATATGAATGGGTTAATTTACTGTTACTATTTGTGGCTATAAATACCCCCAGGCAGGTTGTCCCAGCAGACTGGAGAATCACACAGATTGTGTGTGACTGTAGCATTCACTGAAGGTGAAGAAGATACAGCCAGATCCAGGTGAGTTGGGGCAGTACGGATTTAATCAGGGGCTCTGTTAATGCATCATTTTTAAATGCACTGGGAAACTTTGGGCCAAATCCTGTTCTCAGTCACGCTGGTGTAAATATAAAATGGTCCCACTGATTAACGCAGAGTTACTCTGGATTTACAGCAGTGTAACTGAGCAGAATTTGGCTCTTTATGAATGAACTATTTAATAACATGGAAAAAAGACATTGTGAGAATGGGAAGGACTCAGAATTCAAGAAATGCCAACGATAACGCAACCTGAATTCCGCCTCCTTTGAATTTCTTAGTCTTTAACGATTCAATTGCAAATTATTCCTCAATTAACACAACCTCAACCGTTCTTTTCTACAACCTTAGACACACACCCGTGTGGTAACACCGTGTAATCCTCTGTTCTCCCGTGTTTACTTGCACTACTTTTGGCATCACAACCGTCCAGGCTGCAGCTCTTTGGTGACTCAGACTTTTTCGTATAAATTCACTTCTCCGCAAGGTCTGGTTTTACATAAATTTCAGCCGCAGCAGCCATGGTCTCTGATTTCTTTTCGACCAGCAGCACGGCCTTCCCGCTCTAATATCGAAGCAGGGAAGCTTTCCCCAGGCAAATGACTGGGAATCGAATGCTGCAGCCTCATCTGCACCGGCCTCTACCGCAATTCATGTATTACCAAGTGGGTTTCCATTTCCGGGGACTATTTAAAATCTCCAACCGGTTCTGCATTTTAAACAAAATGGCAATTATTTTGCACACAAAGTGAATGAGATGCAGTTAGCTACGTGCGGGTCCAAAGAATTGTCTGTGGGGACTATTGGAACCCACAGTCAAACCTGTCTAAGCTGTGCGCAGAGAGACAAGGTGGGGGCGGGAATCTCTTTTTTTTGACCAACTTCTATGGGTGAGAGAGGCCAGGTTCTGGGCCACACGGTGTCACGTGGCCTTTCGTGTAAATGACAGTCAGGCCCTCTGATGTCTGTCAGGTGCTCAGTTGTGGTGGTGATGGAGACGAAGAAGCGCGTGGGGTGAGCTGGTAACGGAAGACGATAGGGAGGCAGAGCTGCTCAATGTCTACTTTGCTTCAGTCTCCACACAAAAAATAACATGTGACCAGACAACTAGAGAAGTTACCACAGACAATAAAGGGGAAAGGATGGAGATGAGGATAAGTAAAGAACACGTCAGAGATCTGACCAATTTGAATGAGTTCAGGTCAGCAGGGCCGGACGCTATTCACTCCAGGGTACTGAAGAAATTAGCTGAAGAAATCTCAGAGCCACCGGCAATAATATTTGCAAATTCATGGATGACAGGTGAGGTCTCGGAAGACCGGAGAAGGGCTAACGTAGTGCCCATCTTTAAAAAGGGGGGAAAGGAGGAGCCGGGGAACAATAGACCAGTCAGCCGGACTTTGATACCTGGGAAGCTACTAGAGCAATGTCTAAAACGTTCAATGTGCGAATACCTGGAGGATGAGGGGGTGATCACTAGCAGCCAGCATGGATTTACCAAGACCAAATCATACCAAACCCGTTTGATTTCCTTCTTTGACAGGGTAACTGGTTTGGTGGATGGGGGAATGCAGTGGACATAATATACCTGGACTTCAGCAAGGCTTTTGACTCAGTCCCACATGACATTCTAAGCTGGAGAAATGTGGTCTTGGCAGAAC